TCATCAGATAAGGAACCCTCCATGGTCTGAAGCTTCTGGGGCACATTCCTTAACTCAGCGGCGAGCCTGGGAGGGAATTGGGCGCGCCTTCTCAAAAGTCTCGGGAGTCTTCTGGCCTTCTGAGAAGGTTCCCAAGCCTTCCCCGAAGCCACCGAAAACTTCTCAGAAGGCGCGAGGGCTTCAGAGAAGTCGCGCCGCCTTCTGAGAAGGCCTTCCCCTTCTCACTTCCCACCCCTCGCTCGCCGCCGAGTTCAGTTTTCGGGTCACAGCTCGGGTCTATGGCGGCCGTTCGGGACGATCCGGGCATCCCTGGAACGCTCTCGGCGAGGCACAGCCGCTGGAACGCATCCCGAGGGCGGGACACCGCCTGGAATCGACGAAAGCGCCCGAAAACCTACAACCTCGAAGGTCGAACCTCGAAGTTTCCCCCCTCGCTCGCCGCCGATTTGCCAACGCCCACACCGTATGCAATGTGTTCTTCTTCGGTTCATGGCCCCCGACTCACTGCTGGGCACATTCGCCTCGGCTGCCCGCGCCCGCGGGCGGGTCACTTGAGCTGGGCGGAAGGGCCGTAGATGCCGGTGGCCTTTTGGTGCGCGAAGAGCGGTATAACACACACGCCGGTCGGAAGAAGTGGGTAGAACAGTGAAGTAGGACGGCGTTGGAAGTAGATTGGGCTTCCGCCCGCCCCCTGAAGAGGAGGCAAGAGGGATAACCGCTCGACTCTTGAAGTAGGAGGGCGCCTAACATAAATGGGGTACCCCCAAAGACCTACTTTCAACGACCGGCGTGTAAACTTTTTCCGCGATCGGGGACGCTGGCCTCAGGGCGGCTGGAAAGTTCATGTCCGCCCCTGCCTCCGCAGAGGTATAGACTTCACGGCCGCCCTGGAACAGGCGTGCCCGATCGCGGAGCAGTTTGTCATATACCGTTCTTGGGCAGCGAAGCCTTGGCGTTGTCGTTGGGCTTGGGCAGGGTCAGGTACTTGCCGTTCAGCTTGCCAGTGTCGAACTCCTTCTCGACCTGTGCGGCGGAAACCCAGCCCGGGAGCTTCGTCCCCACGTACTTCTTCAGCCACGGCTTGCCCCAGTCGGCCTCGAACCAGGTCACGCCGCGCTCCTCCTTCTTGGGGTCGAGGCCGGACCAGGCGGCCAGGCCACGGAACCACGTGGTGGCCAGGCCAGTCGACTGGTCGATGTTGCCCATGTCCCAGCGCTCGTAGCCGTAACGGGCCTTCCAGTATTTGTTCTCCTCGATCTTCGCAGGATCGGTGAGGTCTTCCGCCACGAGCTTCCTCTTCAGCTGGCGATTGGCCTCGTTGTTGCCGGTTCCGCCGAAGGCCTCCCCGACCCTGAACTTGACGGGGCCGATGGCGTACATGAGATTGTCGACCTCCTTGCCCTCCAGGAACTCCTGCCTCGTGGGCCGCATGCGGTAGCGGAGGCCCTGGGCGCCCTGGGAGCGTTCGAAGCCGACCTCGCCAACCCAGTAGCCGTCCTGCGTCTGGAGGTCGCTGGTCCCGTCCTTCTTCTCGAGCATCCAGTCCAGGCGGTAGCCGTTCCTCTGAGTGAGGGCGCCCCTGGGGGCCTGAGGGGCAGCGCTAGGGGGGGCGGACTGACTCGGGGGGGGGGGAAACATCGACCTGGAATCGGCGATAGGCCCCCGATGGCGAGACCGCATGTTTCCGGGCGGGGTGGGCCATCGGACCCCTCGGCGATGAGTGGGTGATTGGGGGTCGATGCATCCCCCCTGCGCCTATCGCCGTCCCTTGAGGTTTTGAGGGCCATAGCTCGGGCCTGCGGCGGCCGTTCGGGACGATCTGGGCATCCCCGGAACGCTCTCGGCGAGGCGCAGCTGCTGGAGAAGATCCCAAGGCTGGAACACCGCTAAGATCTGACGAGCACGTCCGAAATCCTCGAACCTCGCAGACCCGCCGTCAGACAAGGGGCCGACAATCGATCCCTGGACCTCTCCCGGGGCGCCTTCTGCCCAGCACGCCGAAGCGGATCCGGCCGTGGCCACGAGGGCGCCCAAGGACGACGGAAAGTGCAGCAAGTCAACCTCGAGCCTCGAGCCCCTGAGCCTACCCGCCCCAACGTTGCCCCCTGAGGGCCGCGGCGCCGGAGCCCGTGAAGGCGGCGGGGGCCGAGCTCCAGGCGGCGAGCGCGGCCGCGAGCACGAAGGCCCCGCGCGCCGCCCGCCGCGGCTCGGGCGACATCCTCGCGGCAGCTGCGGCGGGGCGCGTGGCAGGTGGCGGCGGGAGGGGCGGGCCTGGGGCCAAGGCGACTGCGGAGGAGGGAGGAAGGAGGAGGAGGAGGGGGCGGAGGAGGAGGAGGAGGAGGAGGAGGAGGAGGAGGAGGAGGAGGAGGGGGGGAGGAGGAGGGGAGGAGGAGGAGGAGGAGGAAGAGGAGGAGGAGGAGGAGGAGGAGGAGGAGGAGGAGGAGGATAACCAATATACACCCAAGACTCGATAAAGATGTTGGAATACACCCCCTTCCGAGCTCCCGCTTCAAACAACTCTTCATCTCCACTGAGGGAAATGCCCCGTTGGCGGACAACCGTGTGAAACATCCTGAAGCGTGCCAAAACACCGTTCAGGGCTTCAACGCCACGAGTCAACATGGCTGTTGCGTCTTGACGATCCCGAGCCGTGCCAGAAAGCCATTCCTGAGACTTCAACACAGTGAAGCGTGCACTACGCTTTGAAAAGGAGCCCTCCTCAATCCATGAAGCGCTTGCATATTCTTACGACGAATGTGCTCGGCGCTACAGCGACAACCAATTCTTGACAAGGAGCCGCCGTCAATCCGTGAAGCTCTTGGAAATATGTAAAAAAGTGTACGCGGCGCTGAGGCGAGAACCATATTTTGAAAACAAGCCGTACACCACCCCTTAAACTCTTGCAACTGTTTGAAACGAATGTGCGCGGCGCTAAGGCGAGAGCCACGTTTTGAAAATCACCCGCCTTCAATCTGTGAAGCTGTTGCAAGCTTTTGAAAGCAATGTACGTGGTGCTACGGCGGAGGCCACATCTTGCGAAGCTGGTGCCAGCATTTCAGCTTGAGGCTCAAACGTTGCGACAAGGAGGAGTTATTCAAGTGGCCTTCGGCCAGTGCCGCCGATCCGGGTCGCTCGGGATCACCCCTTGAGCGCATCTACAGAGGGTCCTTCTGTAAAAACACCCCCGGAAACCGCCGGACCCCCCCCCTCCCCGGCAAACCAAGCGTTCTGAGTCGATTTCTCAGGAAATCCAATGGTTTTGAAAGCAAGCCCACGCCACCGGAAACCTCCCCGCCCACGCCACCAAAACCCACGCCGGCGGACCCCCCCCCTTCCCCGACGCCACCAGAACCCACGCCACCGGAACCTTCCCCTCCCCATTCCCAGCAAACCAAACGTTCTGAGGCGGTTTCTAAAGAAATTTCTAGACGCTTCGCGTATCCCCTGGACGAGCACTTCGACTGGGAGACCCTGGGTAAGCTAATCTCGGGAGGGCTCCACGATATCCTCTCGACGCCTGCCTTTCATGTGCTCATATACCTGATGTCTGGGCTACACCCTCACGAATTCTCACTGGCCACGACACCGCGACAGCCGGGCATGCTCGACCGCAAGGCTTGGTCGCACCTGGGCTTCTTGTTTGACATGTCTCTGGGGCTCGACGCGACCAACCTAGTCTACAACATGCTGTGGGCAGCAATCGTGTGGTCGCTCGGCCTGGGCACCCCCTGGCAGGACGCGAGCTACGCCGTCCCTGACGACTCCCTTCCCCCGTTGCCACACGCCAATGGCAGGCGTGTAACACTCTGGAAGCAGCGCCAGTGCACCCCCAAAGGGCTCTTCCGTCAGGTCCCCAAGGCTTGGAGCACCGCTACCAAGGACTGCTGCCGACACAGGAGGCACCCTGGAATGGCTGGGTTGGGAGAGATCCTCCGAGGGTGTGGTGCCATGATGGAAGAGTTCCGCGAGGGAATCATAGACACCGACGGCTTCCCCATGGATTCCTGCAAGGCCCGGTCGCTTCTGGTCGTCATGATGCTCATGCTCCGCGAACCGCGAGTGTTTCTGTGGCCTTTCTCTCATGCAGAGCAGGCCGGGGACGTCATCGAAGCCATTCTGGGGTTCTGCGTCCCCTGGCAAGAGGTCCACCTGGATTTCCGAAGCCAGTTCGCCCGTACCTGGAGCCTCACACTGGACGACCTGGCAGACCTGCACGGCCGCATCGAGGCGGTTCTTCCCCATATCTCCAAGCTCGTGGCTCACCACCCGGCCGCGCTGGAAGCCGGCTGCCCGCAGACTTGGAGCGAGATGGACAGACAAGACTTCCAGCTAAAAGCGCCGATGCTCGTCCTCGAACAGATCGTCCCGGCAGCAACTCGAACCTCCCTGGATACACGCGGCTGCTCAGTGTGTGCGCTACACGTCGCACTGGCGGGGACCGACGCCTCCCTGGGCCCTGACGACCGGGTTGCGGGTCTTTCCTACATCGGCGGCGGGATTGCCCTGTCCAAGACCGACCTCAATGCCCCCCCGCCACCAGCCCCCGCCCCAGGCACCAGGCTGGACCCTCCGGTCATCCCCGACGAGAGGCTCGCGCTCGAGAAGAAGAACGGCAGATACACGTGCGACAGATGCGGGAAGGACCAGCTGAGTTCCGCCGAGGGCACCTGGATCTCCGACATCACGCGCCAGATGGTCGCTCAGAATAGGCCTCAGGCCTACATCAACGGCGCCAACATGGGGTGGCACTGCAACGTCTGCTGGGTAAGCCACCTGGAGGAGCAGGGCCTCCCCACGCCCGCAGGTGTGAAGCTTGCCGACAGAGTCAAGGAGCGTGAGCAGCAGAGGACGGGGGCCAACAATGACCGAGCGAGCGCCCTCCCTTCCCTGAGGCATCTTCCGCTCGGCTTTGGAAGCAGCCCCCTTGCGGACACGAGGACGTTAGCGGACCTCCTCATGGTGCCGTCGGGCATGAAGATCCCCGAGCGTGCCAATACCACCATTCCCATCCTACGGATCTGGGATGAGCGCTTCGGTCTAAAAGCCGCGCAGACGCGGACCTACTCTGCGCGGTGCGACACCTGCCCCCAGGGGACCCCACTCCTCGTCTGGGACCCCGGCTCCCCGCCCCTGGGATGTTTCATATGGAAGCCGGCGGAAGGTATAGGCGTTCCCGAGCAAGCTGGGCTGCCTCTCATCGACAAGCGTGCCCTGGCCTGGTGGGGGCGCCAATGGAATGCTACATGGTGCTGCCGACGCTGCCTGGTCCCGATCTGGAACATGGGCCCGGCCACCCTGGACCACATCCTGGATCGGGACTTCAGACCACTGTATCCAGAAAAACCTCCAGTCCTTCCCCCGCTCAGCAGCCAGATTGGATTCGAGGCGCCTGTGGACATTACTGCTTCTCTTCCTTGGCTGGGCGTGGACGCCAAGGCCCAGGATCAATTCACCAAGGTCGGAGCAGGCAATCCCCCTGGACCCAGCGCCGCGGGCGGTACTGGTGCAGCGTCAGAGACAACCCCCAGGACCCTCACCCAGCATTTGGAGCTCCTGCCAGACCTGCCAGCACCGCAGGGCCCGCTCCTGAGCGACAGGAGCGTCACTAATCCCACCCTAAGCGCTGAGGACCCCAGCAGACCTGGCCCCGGCGGACTGTCCGCACGGCGATCGCTGGTAACCTTCCTCCGTGATTTCCATCCTGGACTGGAATACACCTGGAGGCAATTTTGTATCGCCAACCGCGACAGAAGCGCCCCGGAGCCCAGCTACGACGAGGCCCCCTTGCCTGGCGAGCTCCTGTCAGAGTTCCTTAGGACCATATACGGCGACTACATCCCAGACGACTGTCTCCCTCCCAACCAGAGCTGGGAAGGTAAGCGCGTGGCCGCGGCGCGAGTCATAGCACACCTGGCCAACGGCGAGAGACATAAGGAGCCCTGGAGGATTTATGCGGAGACGTTTGCCCCGGCAAATGGCCTCGATCCCATCCGACATGAGATCAGCACGCTGACGGGCTTCCTACTCAGCCTCGGTGCCGATGCCCTCGCCGCTGCTACCATCACCTCCTTGGCCGAGTCTCCCCCAACGGGCGTTTTAGCCATGAGCGACGACAGACCAGACACTCCCATGGCTGCCGACACAGACAGGTCCCAGGGCACGATGGACAACGATTCGCGTATGGGCCACCAGGACCCGCCCGACCACAACGGCAACGACGAGAGCGCGGAAGACGAGATCCCTCCTGCAAAGGTGGAGTCTCCCGACTTCGGGGAAGACGAACCCCCTCGTCCCCTTACTTGCTCAGAGTCGGCCCAGGACGACGATGATAATCGCTCAGGCGACGAGGCGCCTCAGCAAAGCCCATCGCCGGGCAGCTCCGACTCCAGCCGCGAGGAGACCGCGACCTCAGCCGGGGAGGAAGCGCCCTACGCCGACCGCCGTAGCGATCCAGCCCGGGATCCCGCGAGGGACGAGAGAACCCACGACCGAGGTGACTCGCGGTCCGAGCGCTCTCGTGCGCCAACCCCGCAGCTCCCTGGACAGAGGCGCTATCACCCTCGCCATACTGGTACATCGGAGCAGGATGCACTCAACCGGTTGACCTGTCCGGAGGGGGGCGGCCCCATGTACAAAGTCTGGCAGGGCACAGTTGACCTCGAGCGTCACAGCGAGACCCCAGCCAGACGCATAGCCAGGCTTCAGCCGGAGCTGGGAGCAGTCTTCTGCGCGCTTTGGACAGCAAACACGCAACGAACTTGGATCCCTGGATCCAGGGCGCCCAAATCCTACCCGAAACTACACACGGCCACGGACATCAACAACTTTCTTGATGCCTGGAAGGACTGTGGGTATGACGCCTACCAGATGAACACGATTTTGGGCTATGGCATTGACTGGGTCAGGCTACGAGCCAACTACCTGCGGCACTCCCGTACAGACGACAGGGGCAAAGGCAGCTACCATCAGACCGGCTGGCGTGACCGCTCGTCAAGCTCCTGGGACACCTGGGGCAGCTGGCAGGGCGAGTGGAGTGACGGATGGCGTGAAGATCGCTGGCAGACGGGTGGCAAACGCGGCGGTGACTGCTCCGACGATCGGGACGATAGAGATGAAAAGAGGCTCCGTTGGAGAGACTGAGCCCACTCCTCGCTCTCTCCCCGCCCCCAGCGCCTAGCGCCACCACCTACACCTCTCTACGCACTGTTTGCGGCACTCCGCCGCCTTCTCTCTCCAACCGTGGGGCAGCACCACCGCCCCCTCCCCTGGACGGCACTTCTCCTACCTT